TGAAGGCCAGTCAGGAGGTACCCCCACGCTTATGCGAGCACTCGAAATGAAACTCCTACCTGAGAGATGTTTGGCTGCAAATACGGACAGCAGGCCAAGTGAATTAAGATATCATGAACTGATAAAATAAACAGTAATTTCAAACTTAAGCCCCAAGTCAATTAAGCTAAGGAATCTAGTATTGTTTCACAATCTGAAATTTGTCCCCATTGTCAAGCCTAAAGGTACTAAGCTGTTCCAACAGGTAACTACACATGCTGGATCCAACTACCAAGTTCCCGGAGCTGGTAAAATCTTTATTTTCAAAGCAATAGCCAGAATCCTATCACTTAAGAAGATAATACCTAGACCTAAAGTGGTATATTTCAATTGAGTTTTGGCAAAGTGGAATCAATGTTTATTGTTTGAAACTGGATTTGACCCTTCGCTTCTAAACATTTGCAGTTTTCAGTGAGTGCCTACTCTGCTGCTATCATTACAAGGTCAGATGCTATTAAGCATAAGCATTTATTCTGTGATGGTGTTGCTTCCCACGTGAGCAACTCTAAGTCGTGTGATCCAAGGTAAAGAGCATCGGGTTTATTCAGATGTGTAGCACAGAGCAGAATGACTAATGATAATCATAGAAGCTTTGTTGTAAGTTTAACATACTGTAAGCTTTTTTAATCATTACAATAATTTTTAAATTACAGCTCAATAATTGTTTTTACTGTTTCTCTTAAAGTTTGGTTATCCAGAGTAAATGAGTCTTCTGGTCAATGCCAGGTATTAAAGCTAATAAATGAGATGGAGATAGTGTACCATATGTTAGATCAAAATTATATGTAAAAGGTATGTATAGATTCTGAAGACAGACTATCAGATTGCTGAAAAAGAAATATTCATTTTATAAGTTCTACAGATACGCTGTACAAGATTGTCCCTGTAGTTAGCAATACTGTACTGTACACTTAAAATTTTGTTAAGAGGATAGATCTCATGTTAAGTGATCTTACCACAATAAAATAATTTTTAAAGAAAAGAAATATTCTTATTCATTTGTAAGAGAAATAAACAATGGCAGCAGAAAGATTATAAATCCTCTTTTCCTGGTGTAGCGGATTAAATGAAAGCCCCCAAAAGGTTATGTCCACATATGAATCCTCAGAACCTTTGAATGTGACCACATTTGGAAAAAGGGTCTTTGCACAGGTAATTAAGAATCTTGAGATGAGGTCATCCTGCATTATTCAGGTGGGCCCTAGATCCAGTGACAAGTGGCGTTGTAAGAGATATACAGAGAAAAGACACAGGGAGAAGAGGAGAAGGCCATGTGAAGATGGAAGCATAAATTGGAGTTATACTGGCACAGGCCAAGGAGTGCCTGGAGCCACCAGAAGCTGAAATATGCAAAGAAAGACTCCTCCATGGAGCCTTTGCAGAGAGCATGGTTCTGCAAACACCTCGATTTCAGAATTCTGGCCTCCAGAACTGTGAGAGCATGAATTTGTCTTAGTTCAGCCATCAAGTTTGTGGTTATTTGTTGCAATCCTAGGAAACTAATACACCTGGAGAACTTAAAAACCAGAATAACCTTAGAAAAGTGTTTTCTGAAAGCATGAAAAACAAACGAGGTGACTCATGATTGCACCTTCAAAGCTAGTTTCTATACCACAGGATCCAACGTGCCTGGCTACACTGCAGGTGTTCATCAGTTCCTGCTTAATCCACATGGGCATTGCAGCAACCCATTCTGTTACCACCCTATGGCTACTGTCCCACCCACAGCTACGCTCCAAAGTCTGCATTTCCTAATTAACTTACACTAAAACTGTGCACTAGGATCATCTTCACAGGTACCTGCCAGAAGTCCTGAAAACCCTGGCGATTCCGACTCAGGAAGCCTGGGGTGGGGCCTAGGCATTTGCATGTTTAACAAGCTTCACAAAAGATACTGATGTCCAGCAAAGACTGAAACCTTGAACCTGGGGCACTCAGCAGCTGGACTGTCTGGATACTCTCATCCCAAAACACTCTTGCGCTGACGGGCAAGGGGAACGATGTGGTAGTAGTGGAGCAGGGAGCACAAGCTGGAGGACAAAGAGTACAAATAAGAAAGCAAGGCACTTTGAGAGGAATCTACAGTCTTAACTCCTCCTAGAAACGCACCACCCATGCAATGTTTCTGGGTCTGCACAGACGCCAAAGGTGGAATGAGGGGACTGAGAAAATAAATTGAAACCAGACTTGATGTATAGTTGAAACATACAAGTGTTTCTGGAGTAAAAGTATTTCATAAGCTCCATGTGAATGATAAAATGTTAATACATTGAAGTATAAAATATGCCAAGAAAAAGTAAATTGAAAAGAGTCATGGCTGGGTGCGGTGGCTCACACCTGTAATGCAAGCACTCTGGGAGGCCGAGGCAGGAGGATCGCTCTAGGCCAGGAGTTCAAGAGCGAGACCCTGAGACTCGGTTTCTACAAAAGTAGAAAAAAAATAAGCCAGGCGTGGTGGTAGATGCCTGTAGCCCTGGGTACTCAGAAGGCTGAGGCAGGAGGATCACTTGAGCCCAGGAGTTTGAGGTTGCAGTGAGCTATGATGACACCACTGCACTCTAGCCCAGGTGACAGAGTAAGACTCTATTAGAAATAAAGTCATAAAATAAATTCAATTTAAGAAGTATTTATTGAATGTCTGCTATGTGTCAGATACTGTGCTACGCCCGGGGGCCTCTGATGATGAATAAGACAGTTCCTCCCCTTCCTCAAGGACTAATCCAGGGCACCAGCGGGAAAACCCAAATCTAGTAGCACGGTTATAACTAATCTCAAACCTTGTACCCAGGCCTGACCTCAGAGGAATCATCAAGAACTTAGCCAGTGGCTGAAGCTGATTTCTCCCTGTGGTCACATTCAATACAGAACAGCTGATGTTATCAGAAAATGGAAGTTAGTGACACTGTACTTAAGAAGTTGACATTTATTAAAAACTAGAAGAGTTTGAGGAAATTCTTCACTCATAAGTAAAAATATAGAGAGGATATTAAATGTTACTAATTTGACTAATTTATAGAGCTGGAAGATTTGGTCTCTGACTTGTGGAGATTCCTTAGTGAATATTAAACTATAGTACTAAAGTTAGTCCTTTGAAAAGAGGGACTGCCTGATTTGTTTTTTAAAATCCAACTATAACCATTTTCATTAACATATCAATGTCACTGTTAAATCGTATGTCAGAGTGAAGTTCAAACTATGATAGCCATAATTCACTAGTATTTAATAGTGTAACTCTGGCTCAAAACACCACCTTCCCGCAAAAACCAGTGATCTTAACCAGGATTGGCACACATTCACTCATTTAACCAGTATTTTGAGTTACTACCATGTGCCAGGAACCATGGTAGGTTGCAGCAATGAGCACATAGTCTTGGCTTTTCATTCTTTAATGGTATCCCCTTGAGAGCCATTTCCTGTACTCCTGGGGCAGATATCACTAACCAATCACACACCCTCTCCTCTCAAGCCCCTACAAAGCCTGAGGATCTTTCTCAACATGACACTCATGAGAATATTACCAGTCAGAGGTGGAACACAAGATGAAATTTATTGGCCATACCAAATTCTAACCAAACTACATTGAAATCACTGCTGCTCTCGTAAAATCCTATGCCTTGGTTCATGTTGTTCTGTTTGTTTTTTCCCCTGCCTCTCCTCCCTTTCTATGAACATCCAAATTAACTATTCTAAAGATACAGCTCAAATGCTCTACCTTGAATCTTCCCCAGTCAGATGTAAATTTCTCTTCTGAATCTCAATGGAAATCCTTTTTTAATGGTGTTTAACATAGTCCATCTAATTAATAAAGTACATGCCCTGTCTCTCACATGAGCACCTCAAGGCTAAGAAATGTTTTCTATGGCTTAGCCGCATATTATCAATCATACATCTTTGCACATGCGCACACACACAAACATGCTTGCCAGACCCTGATTCAATCAATTAATTATGACAGAATCTGGGATTAATTAAGGGAGAACACATCAGCTTACTTGGGAAAAGTTTCCTGTATAGCTATATTCAGTAGAGATACTTCATTTCTACTGTTCTTTTTATCAGGTTGCATTTGCAAACCAAATTAGTTAAAATTTCATTTATATGAAAGAAAAATTATATTTGATGTGCAGAAATGAAACTAGATTCTTAACTTGTGAGTCATGGTCTTCTAGGCGAAGACAGCATTCATGTATGTAAGTGTATGTGCACTTTTCTAGGGAAAGGTTTCATAGCTTTCACCAGGTTCTAAGGGGCTATATAAGTTAATAACTAGAATGTATGTGCAATAATTGTAATGACTGATACTGAGACATTGATGTGTTTATTCTTACACACATCCAAACAGCATGCTGGGAAAGGGAAGAACCCCATTTACTACCATTCCCAGGTTTATATCCCTCTCAGGAGGACTCTGGTAATCTCCAAACTGTTTTTCCTGTGTTCACTGCTCCCACTTAGCTTTTCCTCACATATAAACTTCTGAATGATCAACAGTATCTATTAAACTTCTGGGATATTTTCAGAACCTAACAAACCTCTACTAGTGAACTTAGCAAACAGATTTTAATGTTGAATCTTATATACCTTCGGGAGACATGTTCTCCAAAAAAATCCAAATTTAAAATACATTAACTAATTTAAAGGTATTTAGAGTAGTCATTGATAACACTTTTCCAACTATGGAACCATAAATAAGGCACTAGGAAAAAAAAATGCACATCCTTAAGACATTATTAGTGAATTAATGTTTATTTAAAACCACATATGAGTGTTTCCAGGGTGAATGGACTGGTTTGTATCACAACGTATTTACAGAGTGATTAATAACTAACTTGTCCACAAGACATACAGGGTCAAACAATGTGATCAATCCATAGGGCATCTTTTTTGAAAGAATTTAAGTACTTAGCTACAAAGATGGTAAGTTACAGTCAGTTGCTTGTAAGACTTCTCATTTTTTTTTTAAAAAAAGGGTTTTTAATGAGTCAAATTTAATACAAAAAATTAATGTGTAATCAAAGCCAAGTATGTTCCTCGGGCATGTCAGAGGTAAGCAAAATAATGTTAATAGAATTAATGTTACTAAAAAATAAACCATTTTTTTCTGAATGGCAATATAAAATGTCATGGCACATTATCATTATTTAGACATTATAAAACAGGAAGACATGTTTTAATATTGACTTTGTTGTTTCTATAAAGGTAAAAAACAAAAATTTCAACACAACATGTAAATTATAAATTCTAGAAGGTAAACCATAAAAAGGTATTCTCTTCAAGAGCACGCAGTTCTCTACAAATAATGTGTCTCATTTCAATGCGTGAGAAAAAGCATATTTACAATTCAAACGTAGCTCTTTCAGCCACTAAGGGAAACTCCCCATCTGCTTTATCTACAAAGACTTTAGTTGGGCGATTACACAATAACAGTTCCTCAGAATGTGTGAAATTTTTATAAAGAGTAACGATTCACTTGTTCTTTTCTATTTTATTGACTTACACATTTCACATACGGCCATGTTAATGACCAAATATGTACAATATTTTTAAAGACAAAAAATAACACTTATATACAGTTTGCAAAGATCAAATTTTAACCACGGACACCTATCATCTAGTCCAATGACTAGAAATTTTCCAAAACCAATAACTACCAGGTATCACATCAGGCCAAATTAAGCCTGAACACTTTTTTCCTTTCAAATGCTTTCATTTTTCTTAAAGAACTGTTTACAATTCACCTACTTTGAAACTGGCAATAGCTATATGAGCAATGCCTGACGCCACAAATCAAAGTCTTTTCCAACCCAAAAGCTACTGTTAACTGAAGGCAATTTTACCATTTAGGTCAAATTCAGATGTCTAGATCCCAGATACCTGGGTATGAAACATGCAAATCTGCCAAGAGAAATTAGATATTTTTCTTCTTTTCTGTTAACATAACCCACTATATAATAGTGAACTAAATATGTTTGTTTCATAGAAACAACTTACATTTGCCAATACAGGGCAAATGGTCTATGTACAGATACATCAGGACTGCCTAACTGACAGTGAGTGTTGCTGGCCAGGCTCCAGGTCAGTGGAGCTAATACGGTGGCGCTCTCTGCTGAATGGACTTTCCCTTCAGGATTCTTCGGATCTGGAAGAGAAGTAAATAGGATTTGTGAGGTTTATTTTTTATGATTAAAAGGCTGTATTTTCTTGAGAGTTTGTTTCATTTCTTTCTTATATACTCTACACTACTCCTATTTATTAACTTGTAATTATATGAAGAAATATGCACAGTATTTGTCAAGATTTTAAGGTGACTTTAAAAAATACTAAGCTTTTAAAGCCATTTCAGATCTCCTCTAACAGTCTTTGGGTGCAAGAAAATAAAACGTCTCCATTAAAAATTACCTGAAGTTGAAAATCTCCAAAACTTAAATAAGATCTATATTCCTTTCCTAAACTTTACTCCTGCTATTTATGAGAATATTTACTATAAGGCAGTAATTATGGTACATAATAATATCTCACTTAAACTTGAAGTCAGCATCAACTAACAAGAACACAAAACCCACCTTATACACACATAAGCAAATCCTTAATACCCTTCAAGTCAAAATAGCTGTCATGATACCCAGTGTTAATGCATCTCTGCAGAACTTCATGGATCACAGAATAGAGCCCAGGCTCATTCACAGCCTTGTGATTGACTTTACATCATAGTCTGGCAAATTTTATTATCTGTCTCTCAGCTCATAGCAGATTAGAAGTAACAATTTAGAAGAAAGAAGATTAGGGTAGGGGATACAAGGAGTAGCTGCTATGAGGAAATACAACGACCAGAGTCTGACAATAAAAGGAAGGGAAAAGATCCTCTCCCCACCTTACACACATACACACAAAATACAGAAGCTAAAAGGACAGTAATCTGAGAACATTTAGTGAGGAGGCAAATGGCCCTCTATACCTCAATAACCCCTAAGAGCATCGTTATATGACTTCACACCACAAACAGTGAAGCAAGAAAAAATATTGGGATTAAGACTCTCCTATTTACTAGTTAATGATGGTTCTTGTCTTTGGAACCTCTCTGAATACCAGCTGTCTCAGTTGAACCTTTATACTGCAAAGCTGTTATAACTATTAAGTGATATTATATACATGAAAATTCTTTACGAACTATCAAGAGATTCTTTCTAAGTTATAAAAATCTCTACAAATAGGGGTTACTATAACATTATGATCATAATGATGGCTAGGAATCAAAGAAAAAGCTAAACCGCATTCCATATATTTATTTTATTTTGTGATTAGTAAAGTATGTAATTAACCTACGCACAACCAAAATCACCCTCATTCTCCCCCAGGAAAAGATTTCCATTAAAAACATTGTAATTTCTTTATTTGAAGAATAAGTTCTTATTAACTAGAAAAGTTCCCTCATGTGAAACTATTCAATCCTCAGTGATAAGACATAACCATAATTGATGAGTAAAGCATAAGTCTGCTTAAAGTATAAAATATTTCTAGGTTCTAAATTACATAAATAACTTCTCCATTTCCTGTTCAGTGTCACTTAGTAGATGGAAATAATTGTAACAGCTGATGTTCACTGAGCACATAATATATGCCTGGGACTATTTTGAACACTCTAGAGATATGAACTCATTTAATATCTACAATATTTGAAGGCTCATACCTTACAAAACTATGATTCTCATTCCTTGGTATCTGTAGAAACCTTGGCACCTTCTCCCTCATCAGTTTCCAAACCTTGAACCATTCCGACTTACTCTAAACCCAAGTTTGTGTCATGGAAGAGAAGATTACCTGATCACTGACCATTTGGGGTCCATAGATAAACCCTCAAATTTCTTACTCTTCATCTGGCAACAAAGCAATTAGCTCCAAAGTGCTACAATGACTAGTGTGAGACCCAGACACTGACAGAGCCCCTCTGCAGAGTACCAGCTGGCCTTCACCCCACACAACCCCCTCTCCCTTTATGACCAGGATGCCTGCAAGTACTTCCTCTCCCTCCTTGTGACCCTCACCTGTTCTCCCACAGGGCCATCAGGAACCAAATGCACTGGCTGTTCATTCTCCAAGTTCCGGGTACTTGGGTCTGCTCCCTTCCTCATCAACAGGCGGACGGCATCCAACTGTGTCACCCGATACTGCAGGCTGGCAGCAACGTGGAGGGCGGTGTTCCCATTGTAAGCCTGAAGACAAAGATACGAAATACACATCAGGAAGGGGGAACTTCCATGAAAGAAGCTCAAAACCTTGAAGGAGGTGTAAAAAAGGTCATTCCAACTCTGATGTGGTTATTAAAGCTTTCTAAAAGTACCTTTGCATTCACAAAAGACAGGCAACTGGGCAGCTCCAAAAAGAGGCGAATGAGTTCCAGATTTGCTTCTTCAGCTGCCAAATGCAGGGCTGTGCGGCCACTTTTACGATCCTTGTCAAAGGCAAGAGGAAAGGAAAAAAAACTCCAGATATCATGCCTTGGAATACATTTTTCACTCAGTCTCTCGAATGTCTAACTCAGCCCTGGAGACTCACTTTAAATGCTCCCTTCTCCACAAAGCCTTCCTTAATTCCAAGCTAAATGGAATCTTTTACTCTTTCTTAATTTCCTATTAATTTGCCTACACATACCTCTTATCACAGTCTACCCTTGTATACAGAGTGGCCATAAAATGTAGAAACATAAATAATATTTTTATCATATATTATAATGTATCAATAAATCATTTATTATGTATTTGCCAGAGTTTCCAGACTTGATGGCCACCCTGCGCAGTTATATTTAGCTGTATCTCCCACCTCTTCTATTAGACAGCCCCCAAGGACCCAAGTGGTTTATGACTTACGCATTTTTCCCCTAAAGTTCCCTAACCCAGTTCCTTCCATACAGGTGACGTGATAGTAAATAAAGCCAAAATTTAAAAAGAATAAAATATTTTCCAGTTTAAAAAAACAGAAGATTGAGTCTAGATCCTACAACAATGAAGAAACCCTTACGAAAAGCACTACCTTTATTCTCAATGTATGAAAATGAAAGCCAAAGTGACAACATCAATTTCGAGCATTTTCTTTTCCTTGCGAACTGCGACTAATTTATTTCGCATCTGAGTGATCTTTTGGATAATCCACAGACTAAATGCAAATCGGGAAAGCAGATGAAATGACTATCGAAAATCTAAGCTTCTTAACTATCCATACGTTGCTACTCACTCCATTAACTTTAAAAAAAGGAAAAAAAGAATTTTCAATCTGTACTTGGGAACAAAAATCCTTCACTATAACCACTTCTCTCTTCTACCCCATCTCAAACCTTTTCTGTGAATTTACCTTTGCTTCCACTGTTGCTCCCATTTGAATCAGACACTTAATGGTATCAACCAGACTCTTATTCTTCAGTAAAAGTTCCTGAACTTCAGGTGAATGAGGCTGTTGATTTCTCTGGAGTTCATGCACCACAGCGTTATGGGCCATGACTGCACAATGAAGGGGCGTCAGGCCTAGAAGAAAAGTTTAATAATGCAATGGTCAAGCAGCCCGTCCAGTCTTTTGGTCCCTCTATGATTATAAACCTTGAGGACAGACTCTAACTCTACCTACAAATGGGCTCCACAAGAAATAGTAAGGGAATCTGAACATTCCCTCTGTTGGATCTCAGTGCTAATTTTTTACATAGAATATTTTGATTTTAATTACCTCCTTTCCTTCTTAGTATGACACTTAATACACTTAGAACTTACAGGCCCCCACCCTCTACATAGTTCTTTATCTAATGATGTTTCAGTTCCTTACCATCATAGTTAGTTGCCTCAAGATCCACAAACTGATTGCTCCTCATTGCTCCCTTCTGAATTGCCTGCAAAAGTTTAAAATAGACATCTGTTAGCAAAAGACAAGCTATATACATACTTATCTATTAGAATCCCAAGAAATGAGTAAATTAACTCAAAATGGATATTACAATAGGCAAGCTACATCCAACTTCTAATATCCAAGCCCTATCTCTTTGGCCCTGTGATGACGGAAGCCCGGTTTGCGGCCTCTCACCTGAAGCACCTGGGAGTGGCCCTTCTCAGCGCAGACGTGCAGAGGTGTTCTTCCCCAGCAGTCTGTGGTATTCACCTGGGCCCCAAGGTTCACCAGGTCCTGCACGATGAGATGTTGATTGGCCGCCACTGCTACCTGGAAGGCACTCTGTGGACATACAGAGGGAAAAAATACTTTTTTAAGCATATAACATTACCATAACAAGGAATATGAAACTAAACTATGACTGAGGGAAAAACCCACATAGAGAAAATTAATCCTATTAATAAGCAATGACATACTATAAAGACAAGGAAACTAAAATAAGCTTAGGGTGTGGTCTTACTGCACTCAGTCTTTGGTCAAATAACTGCAAAGTTAATATTAATAACTTCAAGGATGATGGTGGCAAAAAGTCAATATCTCAAAGTTAATATTAACTAAACTCTCTTGATCTTGAGCTCTGAGATGATCTACACACGAGACTGGTCGTCATTCACTTCACCACGACCCCATCTTTGCCAGACTCCGTCAAGATCCTCACCTGTCCATTGTGCTCTTTAATATCCAGCATGTGAAGCGCATTCATCTTTCTTGCGAGAACATAGGAAAGTGCCCTTCTACCTTGGGCAACAGCAATATGAAGGAACCTGGGGAACAAGGAAAGGAAAAGAGGTGAATTATTTATGACTTCACTAAGTCCATCTTTTAAAAAAAAAATTCTTCCTTTAGCCCATTTTCGCAAATGAAACATTACAGAGCATAATTTGTCTTTTCTCCTAGATTGATAATACATCCCAGTTGCAACAGAGTGAGTTACGCTACCAGAAATAAGAAGAAAAATAAGGATGTTAACCACCATACCAATCACTTTAAATCTAGTATGTTTAATACTCATAAAAACCCTGAGGGAGGTATTATCACTTTACATATCAAGAAATCGAGGCTTATAGAAGTTAAATAACTTGCTCAAGGCCATAAAGACTTCAGGACAGATTAAGATGAATCTACAAATCACCTTACAGTTTATGCCTAATCATGATCTAATTGTTTCTGCTCTGGAGACACAGTCTATGTCGGTCTTCGAAACTCAAATTATTCAAGACAACACATACATTTTTATTTATTTAGAACAGGTCATTTGTTCAGCCAAAAAAATGAAAAAAGGAAAAAACCCTTTCTTGAAATATAAGTTATCACTGAGTAGCAATTTCTACCTATACTAGTCATCTTGGTTAGCAACCACTAACTAAGGTATAACTGGGTATACTCTAGAAAAATTCTCTGCCCACTAGGTACAGCAAGTGTGGCTTACCTAATTACCTAATATAAGATAAAAGTATACTCACGTGTCGCCGTCTGCATCCTTTGAAAGAAACTGGTCTTGGGAAATATTTGCCAATTTGCTTTCTTCCTGTTCTACTTGCCACTGAAAAAATGATTTCCCTAACTGTGCGGTGTTCATTGTATTTCCGATGACATTCTGGAAGGGCAGTGAAGTGTTTAAAGAGGTGGAGGCTACATCATGGCCCCCCACGGCCTCACAGGCACCGGTGGCCATCATGCTGAAGCTGTGCAGGTGAGCGTCACTCTGCTGCTGAACGCTGGAGGAAGTCTGAATAGGATTAGCAATATTCTCAGATTCCCCATGATTACTTAGAAGGGAAACAAAACTTTGGTTTGGGCAGAATGGTGGTTCTTGAATATCAAAGAAGGTTGGTTCATAGTTAGGGGACTGAGAAGTTCTGGAATAAGGACTGTATTCCAGAGTGGGGTTGTGGGAGTAGTGCTGCTGCTCTACGTTCTGGTTCTGTGGAGAATACTGGTACATAGAAGCCTGGTCCATCACTTGCAGGGAGCCGCTGACTTGGCACGGTTGATATTTCTGAGGTGGAGAGAAGACCTGCCCTCCATGGAAGTCCTGACACTGCTCTCGGGGGGAGCTCTGAGAGACCACTACAGGGCTCATCCAGCTAACTTGGACCGTGTTCAGGGAAACTGGGCTGGATTCATTCTTAATGTTTATAATGTTCTGAAGCAGATCAGCACTGCTGTCCTGTTTGGGTTCACTGTGATGAACATCTTCCATGTTCTCCCCGGGTGTCGGTGTTTGAGGGGGTGTCTGGAAAAAAAGAAAAAGCAACTTGCACACTCACTTCCTTCCAAAATTATTCCAGGAATAATTTCCAAAGGGTATTCAGAAAAAAACAGTGAGATGTTTACCAAAAACTGCAACAGAGCCGGCCTCTTGCAAGCTGATCCATCAGAGAATGAATTGGGCCCTTTCCTTTTCCCACTATATGATACTGCGTTCTTCAAATCTGTACCCAGGAAAGAAATATGGGATCTCTGATTAGTTTTACTTCATAAATTTTACCCATAATCATCACACTGATTTATTTTACTCTAAATCCCCCATAAACTTACAAACAGAAGTAACTCTTACCTGTGAACCGCTCTATGTTCACACCTTGTATCTATAAGGAAAAAAGTTTTCAATTTAGTATATCTAAAATAGTTTCCTTTTTAATATACATCAATAAATAGACTTATCTCTACCACCTTTTATAGCTCACCATAAATCTCTGACATGGTTATTCTATCAATATTTATTTTCTATCTTAATTTTCATTCTGTCTTGCAACTTCCCCATTTTCACTTTCACCTTAGTTCGACTCGAGATGAAATTAATAAAGCCATTTGATTTTTCCCTTTCTGGTCAAAATGTTCCATTTCAAATGAACGCTATTTATTTTCTTGCTCCATTTATTCATTCGTTAAGTTTCTCTCGCACATGTACCAAGTGCCTGGCACTGGGCTAAGTGATAAGATAACAGCACACAGTAAGACCAACATGTTGGTCTTAGATGACTTTGTCATCTATGAAAAATTACAAGTGACTTACTGGAGCTAGGTCAGCAGAGAATAACCCTGACAGACTAACCTCTCCCCATCACCCCAATCAAAACAAAAAAGAGATGCCACCTTAGAATCATCCACAGCTTGACCAGAAGCCTTTTGTTTATGACTTCGGATGTGCAACAGGAGTTCCTTCACTGAGTTTTTCACACGAACACCTTGAAAGGGTCCTTTCTGCTGCCTGCTAACCCCCATATGGGTCTCAACTGTGCAAAAGAAAAGAAAACATACACCCAGTTAAATCTCTTCACAGACACAACTCTTAATAACCCCAAAAGTCTACTCTAATGTATAAAGTTCCCAAGCAACAGACTGCAAAGCCTTTCCAACTCGCTCTGGCCCATGGCCTTGCATGTCCCCAGCTCTACTCAGGGTTGTGTTACCTGATACCTTTCATAAAAATGTGGTCAGAGATGCCCAGAACCAATAGATAAACCCAAATTAAGCCCCTCTGTCTGTCAGCCCTACCCACCCATGAGACAGGATCACAGATTTTGCCACCTTTGCTCTCACAGGTGTAAATTTATTCCTGACTTTGGAAAAACTTTGGGGGATCAGCAGATAAACGATATATTTTTAGTTTTTTAAATCAAAGGCTTTATGTTCACATAGAAATTTTAAAGTCTATTAATTTCACTCACCTAAGAAGGCACAAAGCAACTTCCTCCAAAGACCTCAATGTACCAAAACCTAACAATTAACAACTGTCTCCGATTTATTACTTATTATTTCCCTCAATTCAACTGTGCCAAGAAAGCTGCTTAAATTCACTGAGCTTAAACACATTTCCACATACACACGCAGGATTTCCCCTCACCGAGTGTTTTTGGAATTGCTTACACAGGCCTTCTAAGTAAAAAGGAAATGTGTTCATTTCACATTTAAACTTAAAAATACACTTTAAAATTTAGTACATAAGTACAGTACTCTACTTCTGACCACTACTATGCCACAACCCCTTGGAATCCGAGTTGAACAGAAACACACAAAAAAGTAAAGAAATGAATAATTTGGCCACTCCATCAAGTGTGGAAAAAAGTAAGAAGCCGGGACAAGAAACTGCATAACTTGAACATATATATACATCATAAATATATGATATAAATGGCTCAATGGGGTGAATAAAACAATTAGTTCGTTTTATATTTAAGTTTAGGAACTTCAACAAATACCAGAATTGCCAGAATCTAACACAGCATTTCCCTGGAATGACAGCAGAAAATAATTCGACATCACAGAGAGAAAAACGCCGTTTCAGAAATCCCCTATGGTTCTGTGGTGAACCAAGGAACTAGCAAAACAGTTTCAGCCAAATGAAAGCCAAATGTGGAAGAAAAGGTCCTAAATACACACACATACATTTTGGATTTGCTACACCCTCAACATACAGTGGCTTAAATCACTTTTTAAAATGATTTTTAAATAACTTAAAATGAAAAATCACTTTTACCCCCTAATACTCTGAGATAAAAAAAGAAATAGAAAGAAAAATCACTTTTTAAAATAAAAGACAACCAAAACAGAAGTGGCTAGCAGTGGGGAACACCAGAAAGAGACATGCTTTAAAATCATGCCGATTAGACTCTCTAACATTTGAGATTATCTAGGCGTTCTTTCGCCTACCCACAGGGGCATCCTGTTTTCCACCGAATTATGCAACTCGGTTCATTGAAAAATGAAACTAACCAATTCACAACCGAAAAGGCAAACACCATGCCTTTCCTTGCCAGATATGACTTATCCATCCATTCTAAAGTGCACAGAACAAAAACAAGACGCAAGAAATTCTGGTCAGACTTCTGAAACTCGCCAGCATCATAAACTGAAGGGATAACTTGAGCTGGTTTTCAGTCCAGCCTCTTTACATCTTGATAAGAGAGGTTTCTTTTCTTTAATGGTAAAATCCTTTTACTTAGAATTTCCACAAATACTTAGGAAGAAATAAGTCATGACCTTAAACACAGTTCCCAAACTGCTACAGCTTTTCACTAATAAAGCCACAAGAAAATGACACCCACATCAGACTCCAAATCTCATCACAGTATATTAATTATAACTCAATAAAGCTGTCGGGTTTTTTTTAGGAGAGAAGGAGAGAGAGAGAAATGTCTAGCTTCATTCACTTCGCCCCCAAGTCAGCGCTCTGCCCGGAGCGGCGTTTCAAAGGCTCCCAGGCCAGGCCAGCTGGGTGGCGCCGGGATTTCACAGACTGTCGAAGGGCATCTAGTTGTGTCAGGCGCCCAGCCCAGGGCAAGGCATCCAGTAGTCGCTTACTAAATGACGGCTAATATGCTTACGTCCTGCCGCTAAGGAGGGCTCAGGGGCCACCTCACGCCTGCTTGAGGCTCTTCCCTCCCGGGGGGCCTGGCGCCAGCAGGGGCGCGGGGCAGGCGGGTACCTTGCAGGCGCTCGGCGCGGGCGCCGCCTCTCGGCCGGGACTCCACGGCCCCGCAGGAGGACACGGACGAGGCGGAGAAGTCGGAGGAGTCGGAGCCGGGCGAGCCGGGCGCCGACGGACCCGACGACGAGCCGCCGGCGTCGCAGGCGGCCAGCGAGGGGGCCGGCGGCGAGGCGCCGTAGAAGTAGGCCAGGTTCAGCGGGCTGGTCATGAGGCCGCAGTCGCCGGCCGCGCCCAGCAGCCCCTCTCCGCCGCGGCCGTCGTCCAGCAGCTTGTCCACGATCATGCTCCCGGGCTCGGTGCTCGGGGACCCCCAGACGCCTGCGCCACCGGCTCGCTGCGCGCGGCTGCCTCCCGCCGTGGCCGTGGCGGGCGCGGGGACCTGGCGACGGGCGCGGCCCGGGGCCGCCCGGCTATTTAACCGGCCGCGGCCCTCGCCAGCCGCCCCCACGCCCGGCCCGGCCATTGGCGGTGCCCGCGCCGCCCCCCGGCCCCTCCCCCGGATGCGGCCGGTTTCCAGTAAAATGTACAGGATGAGGCAATGCGCCCTCCGCCCTCTCCGCCCGCCCGGCTCCGCCCAGACCGACCGGTTGTTTTCCTGCCCTTCACCTGGAAACCCCGACTGTGCCCGGCTCCAGCCTCGGCTTCCCGGTCCCTGACCCTCGCCGCGCCGCCCGCCAGGCGACGCCCCGGCCAGGTCCGCCCTCGGCGAGCCGCGGAGGGAGGGCGCGCGGCCGGGGTCGCGGACCGGCGGAGGGAGGCGCGGAGGCGGCGGAGGGAGCAGGTCGGCCTGGTTCCCCGGGCGGGAGCTCTGGAGGGTGCCCCGCACCCCTCCGCGTGCCCCGCACCCCTCCGCGTGCCCCGGCGCGGCCAGCGGGAAAAGCCCGAGTTAAGGCGTCTCTGGAAGGTTCCTAAGGGCCGTCTCCTCCAGTGCCTCGGAGCAGTTTCCCTCCTTAAAACCTAGTAAGCGTTTCTAGCGCTCTTTTAGGCAAGGTCCCAGATTGAAAGAGGTGCTGAAACATTTTTCTGTCCTCAAATTATCATCTGGGCCACAACTAATAATTATTTTAGGCGCAGCCCTGAAATCAAAAGCAATGCCCACACCTCTGTATCCTTCAATACTAGAAAAAGCCATCTTAGCAAAATAAATATACATTCATATGTGTCTGTATTTTATATATATTTTTTTATTCTGCATCGCTTTACATTGTGTCTGATAAAAATAGGAATTTTGACCTTTCCTATCTTGAATATCTTTTTTAATGGATTTATACAACTATTTATTGATGTCCAACTAGCCAAAAAAAGAAAAAAAGCTAGAGTTGCAGGAGAAAAAGAATGATTAAGTCTGTCCTTTCAAGTACGTACTTTATACCTTGTAAGAATGATAAGGTAAGTACACACGTGCTATATTAAAAGAAACCGATTGTGATTAAATATCGTGAGGGATACAAAGTTCAAGCCTGAAAAGAGAAACAATATGTCTGATACAGGAAAAGGGAGGTCAGGAGGAAATTTCTTTGCAGGGGAGGTGGCACTTGAGATAGGTCCTAAAGGATGGGTGGGATTTCAGCCCACAGCATTTACAGGAAGAGGCAACAGCATGAGCAAGGAATTAAGGCCAAATAAGTTTACAGTCCCTTTCAGGATTGTCAAAGGGAAGATCATGACATTAAATGTAAAAGAGAACTTGGTGCCTTTGGGTGGAACACCTCCAGCAGCTGAGACACTGGAACTTTATTAATAAACATTGAGGAAACATGAAAGAGTTTTAGGCAGGCAAAATCAGTCTGGAAGCAGTTGAGAGGGTGTGAGAATAAGGGGCCCAGAGGCCGTTAGGAACCACTGCAATAGCCCAGGAGAGAACTGACCTAACCCTGGGACAGAGACAGCGGGAAAGGGGAAAGTAAATGGAAAGAAAGCAGAGCTAGGTAGCATTGCCAGGGCGGAAGCCACAGGTCTGGCCCAGCTGGCAGTGGCGAGCAATAACAGGGTACCCAATCAGGCCACATAGTTGAGGTCATGACCAGGTGAACAGGGATGCCAGCTCCAGATCACTGGGAAATCAGCAGAGCAGAATGTGAGAGTTCCAGAGGGAAGAAGACAATGAGCTTGGATTGTTACTCTGTTAATAGGTAGTATAAGACCCTGGTGAAGATAGTTCCAAAGTAAATACATGCCCTGCAAAATGATGTTTCAGTCAACAATGGACCACATATATGGCAGTGGTCCCATAAGATTATAATACCATATTTTTACATACCTTTTCTATGTTTAGATATGTTTAGATACACAAATACTTACCATTGTGGTACAACTGCCTACAGTATTCAGTATGATAATATGCTCTAAAGGTTTGTAGCTTAGGAGCAATAGACTACACCTTATAGCCTGTGTGTATAATAGGCTATACCATCCAGGTTTGTGTAATTACACACTGTGATGTTCACCCAACGACACAATCACCTAACGACACATTTCTCAGAATGTATCCCTGCTGTTAAGCAACAAGTGACTGTATTTCCTTTTTCTCACAAATGTATTTCCTTCTTGTTGCCTCTCCCTCCCCCTAACTTTTTAGAAACTTTTAAAAATAAATAAATAAAAAGGAAACAACTCCCTTGATGTATCTGTGGAATATACAAAGCTCCAAAACCAAAATCACTTAAAAGATGGTCCAAATGAGATGTTGAGAGTGATGGTTAATTTTATGGGTCAATCTGATTGGAGTAAGGAATGCCCAGACAGCGGGTGAAACATTATTTTTGGGTAAAGTCTGTGAGGGTGTTTCTGGAATAGGTTAGCATTTGAATCAAAAAGATCCCTGCTCACCAATGTGGGTAGGCATCATCCAATCCATTGAGAGCCAAAATAGAACAAAAAGGCAGAGACTCTCTTCTTGAACTGGGATCCGCCTTTTCCTGCCCTCAGACATCAGCACTCCTGGTTCTTGGGCCTTCGGACTCCAACCAGGACTCATACTACCAGCTCCCCTGGTTCTCAGGCCTTTGGGCTTGGACTAGAACCTCACCACCAGCTTTTCTGGTTCTCCAGCTTGTAGATGGCAGGTGGTGGGACTTCTTGGCCTCCATAATTGTGTGAGCCAATCCTTCATAATAAATCTCTTTCTATGTGTTTATATATACCCTGTTGGTTCTGTTTCTCTGAAGAACCCTAATACATTGGAGTTTCCCAATAAAATCTATTTGGATGTTTTTTTCTCCTCGCTAACACATTTTATGTATAATAGAGGACTTAAATGCCCATTCAGATAAATTCATACACAAAATTTTTTTTACAAAATTAATTCTATTCCTGTTTTACTTGGTATACAAAAATTTAAACCTCAAAATCATGGCCTCTGGAGAACTTAATATAGATCAAAATGGTCAGTGAAGGAGTAATGGTTCAAACTAAACAAACCTTTCTATGCAATGCCAAAGCAATAGTACTGTTTGAGAAAACCATAACTCTTGATGTCCAGAAGCCTTCCCACACAGTCAAAAATGGTTGTTACTATCACTACAAAACGAAAATTTAAATATAATTCGCTTCATTTAAGTGTTGAAGTATAAACTCAATTTGGTTTATTAGATTGACTGATATGATGCTGCCATTGTTCTAATCAAATATGGTCGAACACTCACTCTGGGGGAGACAGCCACCATGGCATGAGGACACTGCACTATCTGGAAAAGTCAACTGAGGCCAACAGCCAGCACCAATTTGCCAGCCATGTGAGTGAGCTATGCCCCACATCAGGCCTTCAGAGGACTGCAGCACTGGCCAATGTTTTGACTGTAGTCTCATTAGATACCTTGAGCCAGAACCCCCAAAGCCACTGACACTTCCCGATGTACAAAAATTGTACTCAAAAAATGGGGCCTGGAGAATTTGTCTAAAGTCACACTGTTCCATCACAGGTGGAGAGGAGATTAAAATCCTCATCTGTCTGACTCTGGAGCCTTTTTGCTTAAAAGCCTTTTGCTTAAAAGCCTTTTGCTTAAAAAGGGGATATTACAAGACTCATTTCTTCAAGGCTCAGATGCACTGTCAACACTTAAAGATACAGAAAAAGATAAAAATGGCGTATCAATGAGTTCTGTGATTTATGGAAGGGAGAAAAGAATAAGAAATAAAAATAGGATGATACTATCTTGCCCTGGGCTTTATATATCAGGTTATATAAGGTTGATTATTTACCTTATTGCATCTTATGCACGAGAACATTTTTGAGTAGTTTTATGGTGCCAATTATGTTGTAATACCATTTTGAGACCAGTAATTCAGAGTTTTAAGAAAAGGAATTGAATTTTTAATATAGAGGTAATGAACGATTGCAAAGTCAAAGACTATTTGGTGCAGCTTTTCAAACTTGAAATGAAATGAAAAAGCCAGAACCTTATAGGATAAGTTACTGTATTGCATCGGCTCTCACAATGAGCTTTATTGGTGAGACCAATAAAGCCTGCTAGAGTTTATTTTGCTGAATGCCTTCTAGATGAAAAGTCAGTAAAAGAAATCACAGCACTGCCACTTTCCAATGATACAGTAATTCACTAAATTAAAGATTTAACTGCAAACAACTGATTTTGTCTGCAGAATTGTATTTTGTTTTAGAAACGGACAGATCTACAGATTGTGTGGATTTGCTATTTTGTTATATTCATCTGGTATCAGCTTCAGCCATCATCAAAAGATCTTTTATTTGAATGCTTGACAACACAAAGAATGCTGAAACATTTAAGGTGTACAATAACTTTTTTGAATCTCATCATCTGTCCTGGAACAACTGTGTTTACATTTGCAATGATGGTACAAAAGCAATGGTGGGAAAAACTACTGGTGCCTTAAAACAAATCAAGGCAGTGGCAACAAAATGAACTAGTGATCACTGTATTCTTCACCACCACACACATGCAGAAAGAAAAAGGAAAAAAAAAAGCCAGTTTCACTGAAGTCCTACATGAAACAGTAACAGCATTAATTTTATTAAAACTGACCCTTGAAATATACATCTTTTTATTATCCTACGTGGCAAAATGGGAAACATGCATAGAAATTTGTGTTGCATCCTGAAGTATGTCAGTTGTCTCAGGGAAAAGTACTTGTCTATTAGGTTGAGCAATATAGCATTGCTATTTGTTCTAATCAAATACTGTTTGAGTTGTAAGCTGAACTGGCCACTGTTTTTCATGGGATACCAATTTTACTTGACTGACAAACTATAGTTATTCAGACTCTGGTATTTGTCAGATTTTTTTTTTTTAATGAACAAAGTAAACCTGTCATGTCAAGGAAAATAACTCTTAGTGATTTTTGCCAATGATAAAATTCAAGTTTTCAAATGAAAATTAGAATTTTGGTAAACTTTTGTCAGATACCTTGAGCTTAATAGCTTCCCA